AGACTATCTTGGCCGTTGGTGAACTCGGTTCTTACTCAAACGTATACGCTGCTTCAATGGCTTGCATGCTTGCCGGGGCGGACTTCATAAAAACATCCACTGGCAAGGAGTCAACTGTGAATGCCACACTGCCCGTCACTGCTGTCATGTGCCGAGCTATTAGTGATTTCTATGACAACTACGGAGTGAAGGTGTGCCCGATGTCGTGTTTTATGACCTACTTGTACCTACCGTCTTCTTACCATGGAATTCGTACCAGCTTTTGGTTTACTTTCGAGATACACTGGATGCCCTCATTATTATTGCAACTAACTTATGGTGTCCCATAACCCAAGCCAATTCATACTTTCTCCATAGCCTTGTTAAAAGGTTAAGAACGGTAGGAAAGCGGTGATAAGAGAGGAAAAAGATAAGGTGCTTAATGCAACATAGGGTCACTGTTATTCCAGGCTTTTTTACTGGAAAGTTTAGTGTTCTCTACTTCTCCAGTTAGGCGGCGACGTGTACCATGCAGTCAAATACTCTGTTTTCTCATAAGTATTTACGTTTTATAGGGCGACAATCACACATTCTCCGAACATAACTTACTTATTTAAGTCGGTTTGCCCAGTGGTGGGAAGCCTCCTGCACAACCAGGGTGGTTATGTTCGGCTTTTCACGGACGCCAGCAAACGTTCCGAATCAGCCGGTCATCTAAGCAACACCGAATATAAAAGCGATTGACCTTAATTGCCACAAGTGTCCTTATCCAGGTTAACGTGTCCGTCGCCATCGCTGACTTTTTAATTTAGCGTTACCTACGTAACGAAGAATGTGTGATACTTTGCATGTCATTGATAATCGCTAGACGCGAACATCTATGGGGCTGTGGGGCACCAGCTGAAACTGCCAGAAACAACCTCAATAGCAAGCCAGGTATTGGTAGCGTATACCTAACTATTGATTGTTCCACAGCTTTAAGACGTCGTCTATGATACCGTTAAATAGGCCACGACGGTGTTACCTTCTCATCCTTATAACATACGAACTTTCAATTTCTACTCAAACTTACGTGCCTTTTCGCCGTTATACTTGCTGTGGCATTTAGAGCACACACTGTTCGTTAGTCGCTTCCTTTCGAACATTTCTGTCAGCCTGGTCAGATTCATACAGAGAAGTTTTGAAAGTTTAAGATGACAGCATCCAAGTTCTACTGAGTCTCCGGAAGAGTTGAATTCAGTCTGACGGATATGAAGAAGCTTATTGTTTCATATGTTCGCTTTCTTCCTGCTATAGGTTGGCTACAAGCCGGCGGGCGGACTAAGGACCTGGAAGGACGCCATCTCCTTTATTTCGGTTGTACGCGGCTACCTTGGCAATGATTGGTTAAACCGCGAATACTTCCGGATCGGTGCTAGCTCTCTGTTAGGCAGCGTCGAAGCACGGTTATTTACCCTCTTGCACGGCGGTCGGTCGCCCTTATCTGGCGAGTTGGCTTTCATGTAGTTCGATCCATTTTTATCTCTCATCCCTGTCCCACAACAGCCTGCCTTAGTCGCACACACATTCTTCTCTGCCTGCCGCTGTAGATATTTTCCCGAATGCTTTTTTGGTAGACTTGGTGATTTCACTAGCACTGTTTTTTGTCTGCGTGTTCTGTCTTACCATTCCCCTCACTGGAATGAAACCTAGTTCGCCATACAATGACCTTCTACCAGACCGTTTGTGACTCTTGTTTTTAAGGGCGGCCTGCTAATGAAACAGTTGATTTAAATTAGACCGATGGACTGTAAAAAGTGTTAAAAGCGCCCACGGAAAGGAATTTGGGCTTAGAAATCGGCAAAATTCTGCTTGATGTTTTGTCTCAAGCGCGGAGGATCACTGCTGCTTTTGGCGTGAGTGTCTTTGTAGTGGAGCATACTTTCGCAGCGTCTATCTCGCTTATTGTTCTCGCACTCTTAATACACCGGCGACAGGATTTGGCCGCAGTGACTGTGGAGACTGGATCGGCGTGTTTGTCCTGGTACACGCAAACCACACTTCAGATAGGGAGAGTCTCGATCTTGCACTGGCGAAAGTGTCTCAAAGCCCATTGTCGCCTGACCTTCAGCAGTGGGTGGGACCAAGTTGTTTCATCATTCAGCGACGTTAACACGTCACGATAGTATAGATGACCGGATGGCTGCACCTCACTATCATTTCCTTCTCCCGTACAAACTGGAGCTTTTTCCATTTACCGTTTTTGCGCGGGATGACAAGCCCACCTTGTGCGCGCAGACCCAGCTTCTCGAACCAACTAGGTGCAGCCGACCACGGTTCACTGGAGCAAGCAATTAGCCGATGGACCAACACCTCTAGGAGCTCGTCTGAGCACACAAGAAGGTACTCTCATGAACCCGACACGCCCACAGATGACCCAAGGTACGGTGTAAAGCTCTATTCTGTCGCCAGACCTCCAAGTTTAGCAGTTCGATGGGAGGAGGTTTTTATTGTGTGTGGCTACAGACTGTCTTTAATCTGGGGCTCATCGCACGGTGGTCGACAGTAGTTAAGGTCTGCAGGATAGCTAGCGCGACCCGACTTCGAAAAATTCTCGAGTCTGTGGTTGGTTAAGGCAATGCAGCCCTCCCCCCGTGGCGTCTGGTCATTGCTTGTCTGTTGGACTCGGCATCTCGTCTTTTAAATTGTTCAACTCAGGAGGCGGTAGTTGGCCGCTTTGCGCTTATCTGATCCTGATCCGCATGCCCTGCAGTGCTGGCGCGCACTTGCTTCACTGCCTTTTCTATAGACCGGGTGGCCTTGGGCGTCGATGTCCGTCCGTCAAAGTTTGAGAAACGAGCAGGGTAGATATTCTTATGAATAGCAGCGTCCGATCGGAGCGTGTTTCATTTGGGATTCCATCGTCTGCATCCAAATAAATCCAGTCATAAACTTCTATTAAAGAGGGTCAGCGATTTCGCCCTCTATGCTGTCCACACTGGCGCAGTTTTATCCATATGTTGCGTAAAGCACCTTGACTTGTTACCGCTATCTTTGGCCCGGGTTGGCGTTGGAAGCCAAAAAGGCGTGCCGTCCAGTTTAATTCACGACAGTGAAACTAACGAAGGTTTGCCACTGAGCCGGTGGCTGTTTACTTCACAAACATTTGCTCGATACCAGTGAGGTGACGTCCATGTTACTGAATGTTGCGACCTGGCATTCCTTCCTTCCAAGAACACAGTGATTCAAATCGGTTGTGACCTGCGTGATTTTTCTCGTTAAGCGCTTCCTCCGACATGTCAAGTGTTATCATTTAACGATATCTGCAAAGACCAGTTGATGAACCCATTCGCTAGAGATCTGCACGAGTAAGCCATCTTTTGCTTTGGCATTACTTGCAGAACACTCGGGATCATTTGTTTCGATGAAAGTCCAAAAAATTAGGCCCGAGTACTTAACAGCCGCCAGAACAGACGAGAAAACACACAGACATGCCATTACTACTAACTGTCGTCTTGAGAGGTGACGAAGACGTGCCGGGAAGCAACTTGTCGCCAGATATGTTCCAGTTAGGTGAACTTAAAAGACTGACCTTTGGGTACGCGGCAGATGCTCTTTGACTGCTGTGCTCACGTCCGTTATCTTCACGTGCAACGTGAAGTAGGACTGACACTAGGGAAGGCTGTGGGTCAACAGTGTAGGTTGCTATTTCGTTTGGAGAGTTTGCAGTCAACTTGTTTTCTCATCCACTAAATGTGGACCCAACATGTTCCCGAACTTGCTGATTAAGGCGGCCTTGGCAGTGAAGCTCTCCGTTCACGAACTTCGTTCCATTAGATTTAGAAGGTATATTCGCGTGGATGCAGTAGTCTATTTTCTGAATATACGCTACCCCACCTTGATTCTTATTTAAATTGTAGCAGGTTGGGAGCGGTTCAGTCATCTATGGTAGCTAATTTTTCCGCGTAACTTGCTTCTATTCTAAGCGGCATACATCAAGCCTGTTTGTTTTGACCTACGACTACTTCCGATCATCCCTTTCGCGTGAAAATCTGGGGCAGTTCGTGTGTGACAGGCTCAGATGATCTGTTTAGTTCAGCCAGCCACTTGTGCTCAGTTCCCCGCATAAGATGATTGACCGGCTCGGACAGTTGAATGGTGTCTGGGAAGGGGAGAGGGAGTCAGTCCGACTCTCTGTGCAAATTCCGCACTACAAACAGTGCCGGTGCGCTAACAGCCATGGCCGCTCACTGATGGATTAAGTCGGTCCTTTCAGGACGGAGGGTCTGGCTTTAATGGCCCCCAATGAATGCAGCCTCTACCCACTTGTTGCACCCCCACCCAAACGTGAGCTCAGCTGCTCCTTTGTCTGCGTGAAGAGGGGGTTCACCGTGCACGAGCTAGGTCGTGTGTGGCACGCGTAGAGAGCGTTTCAGCTTTGTAAGCCACCGCACCTTATCCTGCCTCCGGTCATCTTGACACTGCCTGGCCGCCGGTCACAGAGGTGTGGGAGAGGGGAGAGTACGGCAGATGCTGCACGAGTCGGCTGCCACTATAAATTAATTCATGCGCAATTTACAGCCCTACACCCACCATGCCGTTGGACACGCGGTGGACATCGTTGCTCGCGACGGTCGAACTGTCGAGGATGGATTGCCGTATAGAAATGTCTTGGATGGGTGCCTGTGAGTAACGAATGTCTCGTAAGCCGTCAGTTGCCTGTTAGTCATGTCGCTTACAGTCGATATTACATCCAGGCCGGATGCAACCGCCCGGCTCAGAACGAGATCAAAAGAGACACTACCGCAGGAGGACATGTCAGGATTCGTTTGCCTGATACAATGCAGTTGTGAGAAATGCGGTTACTTCGAGTAAATAAAGAGACTACCCCTGGCTCGGATGGCCAAACACGAACCACTGGCATGCAAGTCCTACGCCAAGTTTGATGGGACGGCAATCTTCAATAAGCGTGCGGCGGTTTACTTCATAAAAACACTATAGCCGCACTTTTTTCTCTGACAGTGGGTTCGAGTGCAAAGACGAAAGGCCGGGCTTCAAGCACCCAACTGTGGTGGAAAATATTGATGGACGCAACAGATGACGAACACGAAAAGGAAAAAAGGGAAACCGCTAGAGAAATTCTCTGAGGCATCCGGGGTAGGCATCAAGGGAGGGCAAAGGATCAAAGGTACACTCAAGTTTCATCCGGCTGATACTCAGGGATGCGGTGCCATAGTCGATATTCAAAAAACTGTCTGCTTGTGAGCGCAAAAATCGCGCACGCCCCCCGGGCACGTATGACCTAGATCCCCGAGGATCTTTCTGCAACGGAAGCATCAGGCTCACCCCAATTTGCATTGAATGTTTGGACCGTGAAACAGCCCCTCGGGAGTGTTCTTCTTCAGCGAGTTCACTCTGTTACTGGTCGGATGAAAAGGAAGCAACTGGTAGCAGAACTGAAAATACGACGGCAGTGGTAGGGTGAAGAACCCCAAGCCTCTCCAACCAGCAACACGACCGTTTTTCAACTCTCTGAGCTAAGGTCATGGAAATTAACGGTAAACTGGATCCTAACATCTGCGACAGACCACCAACACAACAAGATTGCTTCTATAAATCTCTGAGCTTAGGACATGGCAGGTAATGGTAAGGTGAGGATTAGCGTCTGCGATGGAGGACGGAAGCAACACGATCACTTCTCAACACTTTGAGCTACAAAGTATCTCAACGGCCACGAACAAACAAAATCGGAAGGGCGAAGTCGAACACAAACTCAATGTGCAGAGCAGTAGTAAACAACCCATGACCTGATTAAACAAGTAAAATTGGCGGTTGCATGCAAGATGCTTGGGGTCCTTCTCCCTACCGCTACCAATGCGACAGTCAAGTCAGAAAAAGAAACCATTAGCTCTGTGCGAATGTCAGCATACACATCGACACATTGCCAACACAACAAACTGTGTTCAGGACGGGAGGCTGGATGCAGCCCACAAAAAATATCCAGAAGGGACACGCTTGTCAGGCGCAACTGCGGTGTAACATATTCCGGATACAGATAAAACGAAATGATGTAACAGTATTGTACACAAGTGCACAGAATGTATCCAACAACCAGGAGGAAGTTAAATGGATCGTATAACAGAAGAGAAGACGGAAGACTCGGCAGTCATGCTGGAGGACTTTAGGCGTATTCTGGAGAGCTGAAATGAACGAGAGGGAGGGGGGGGGGAAAGGCAGAGCATTGCGACCTCCGCTAGTGGTGCTATTGCCTGCATCGTGGACCGGTCTCTCGCAAAGAAAGCAGTGCTTCGGGATTTTTAGCCGCCGTGGACGAATATGGCGTCAACCGCGCCTTCCTCCTGCTCTGCCATACAGGTTGTTGAGGCGGCCATAAGATGCGTACGATTCATTCATCTCCGAAATAAAAAATATACAGCCAGTGACCGATCTCATGAAATGTTAACCAAAATTTGGAAGTACGATTTCTAGTAGGAAGGATTACTTAAGCGGGATTGTCATAGCCATTG